AGAGAGACGAAAAATCCCTGAAATACTTTTTAGTCCTGAAAACATTATCTGTACTCTCTTTTTTTCTTTCAGATTGTTGAAAGAGTTTGCATTCATCGTATCTGATTGAAATGGGAGATACTTTGAGCGTCTTAACTTCCTCTACAGACTTCACGGTAGGAATAAAGATGTGCACCTTTATAAGAAGACATTTATCTTTTTTTCTGTACAGGGCCCTCGAGGACCAATATTAAATCTACTGAACGACGATGAACGACAAAATCTCTACAAACTTTTTGCTGATTATAGCACACTTCTAATGAGCACGTCGTTCCAAATCAGCCATATGATCTGCATTGTCGAAGGTTACGAGAGACTAACATTCGATCGAGATCGTCTTTCAGAACTTCGAAGACCAGATGGTCCAATTGACGTTGATCGCTTGTCTCAAGTAAGTCATATAAATTCTGGAAAATGTGCACACTTTTGTTATTTTCTCAGCTCTATGACAAAGCAAAGGCATTGCAGCCGAAGATTCATGACCTCAAAACTATGGTTGAGCAGAGAAAACGGCGAGAGTCCATCAACGAGGCCGTAAGGCACCTGAATGAAATGTACAATGTTCTCGTCAATTTGTGCCAACAGTTGACAGCCCACAAGGGCAATGCAGACGCAATGAATAGAGTTTTGAGATACGGCAATGACTGGGATGGAGTACATTGTCCCATTGACAAGAATCTTCTTGCGAAACTCAAAGATACACAACAGTACATCAAAGTGTGCGAGGAGAAAGCAAAACGTTTTCTTGACTAATTATTGTCGTGTTGTTTATTTAAAAACAAAAAGAAGTGTATACCTGAACTTTTTTCTCTCTCTTATCAACAAGAAAGACAACTTAACGCATGGAAAAAACAGTTTAATTATCTTTTCCTACACATGCTAGAATTCGAACATTTTTCAGGCAAAAGAGTAGTAAAAAGAACATACGACAAAATTCCAACGTTTCCATCATTTTGTTCTGATTACAAAAGAGTTAAACAAATGTTTCTATCGAAATCGAAGCCAATAGAGGACCTGAAATGGTGAAATAAGTTTTTTCCTTCGCTCGCTGTCGTCTTCTTCTTTCCACAGAGATGCACAAAATGAATCGAGCCAGTAAGAGGAGACAACAGAACCAAAACAGAAGTGTTTCTTTTTTCGACAATAAAATTTGACAAAACATATCTTCGACAAATAACATGGGATTCGAAACAAGACAAGTTGTTTTCTTGCAGATGACAAACTCACAGATTTTTTGGGAACAACTTAACGTCTCG